GTGAACGAAAGCGTATGCAGAGTGTACGAGATTTTTTATTATTATAAAAATGCGATAGGAAACTCTAATTCATCCTCCGTGTTCTTCAAACCCTTCACTTTCAGTGCACTTACTTGCTTCTGTTTGTGCGAATTTATTTGAAAGGGTTCACTTTTCTACATTTTCTCAAAAATCAAATACTAAAGCGACTAATTCACTTCATATTGGAAGAAAGCTGTTTAATCAAATGTATCACTGAATATTTCACCGAACAAAGTAAGCCAAACACTGTTAAAATAACGTACCATTTAACGTTAACAAATATTAATCAACGATCTCTATTTTACTTTTAACAGAAAATCTCTATTTCATTTTCGACGACGATTTGCAAGACGATACAATTACTTCCAACACCCAAAAAGCCTTGCAGATTTTCCTCCACGAAGCTCAATGAAACAACATCGATTCAGATCCATCGAGCATAAACGACGAACATGTTTCGAAACGAAGAGTCACAGACGAGATAATACATCCGGTCCTATTTCCAGTTCGTCGACCGTCGTTGCAATAAAATTGTCTTTGGTCGTTCGGTTGCGACAAAAGTGACGGAAAACGAGTCATCCTCCCATCGCGGTTAAATTAACACTTTGAATGGACATTAAGCCGATCTCTTACGAAAACTTCTATGACTTTCGCTGTCGATTTATTTGCATGCTGCAATCTACTACGTACACACGAGTGCGTATTAAACGCGTGTAATAGATTTGCAAACTAGCGACCTAATAATTAACCTGATGTCTTATGTTGGCAAGCTGACAGGCTTCTCAACGAACGTAGCTTTGAACGTTGGATATTGGGTCGTTCAAGTTCGTGACGTTTATCGATTTGCTATGTAGATCAATATTTCAAACGTACCTGCAGATGCTGGGAATTCTGTCTTCGAACCAATGCTTCCTATCCTTTTGGCGAAGTCATTATGACATCGCTGTAAAATTTCTTCGGCTTTTTATTACAATATCTAAGTTCGTACATTCTGACGAATTTTCGTTAACTCTCTAAGTTCGGGAGTGTCTTAAAATTGTGGTAGAATATTTTTCAGGGTTGGAATAGGCTACTTTATACTTCGGATTGGGAGGCTACTCGTTTGCAATGCGTGAGAATGTGAATATCACAGGATTTCTTATAGAGTCGATATTGTCAGATTCTTTTTTACCCGCTAAAAATGTTTCAACGCGCGAAACAGGTGATTGAATCACACGTTTAACCCTTCGTGGGCAAATTTTTTTTTTCACGCTCAGTAGCAGGGTTGAATTTGCCATGAGGCGCGTTAGGCGCAAGCTGAGGCCGTATTTTAAAACCTTACGAGCAACGATATAAAAAATAACTGATATTTCGGGCATTTGGAGGATCTGAGACAATTATCGAACATATTTAAGGGGATAAAAGGGGCGCCGCGGAATTACGCGAGGACTTTTTCTCTTGGGTTTCGATTTCTAAACGTTAGTAATGGCAATACTAACGTCTGTACGAAATTTCACCCGGGAAAATGTGAAAAAAACAGCCTAGTTATAATTTCGTTTCGAAGAAATAGAAGAGTGAAATTTTCCTTGGAAACTTTATCACACTCGTTATATTTTCCATCAGATTCTCGTCTGTTTCGTGCACTGCGACATTTTTTAGTAAGCGAACAAGATTTGACAATATCCACTCTATGAGAAATAATATTGAAAAATATTTGAACAAAGAACGGAAGAAATTCTATAGTGACGTGATAATGGCTTTGCCAAAAATGCGGAAAGCATTTCTTTTAACCCTTCATTTGGCAATCTGGGTCATTGAGAGTCCTGGACGTTTAGGCGCTGTTGATTCTCTTAATTTACGAAATTCACGAAAGGATTTCTATTTACAATTTGCACTAATTTTGCGTATAACGTGTAACTGAAGCATTTTAAAAAAATATTAATTCTACGATTATAACGTTAAAAATCAACATATATAGAAACAAGCAAATTTACAGAATTTCAAAACTCCGAAAAAATATCGCTTTCAAACAGTCACTGTTATACTAAAAAATTGAACAGAAAAATTAGAATTAATTTACTTCCTCAACAGTCATCGACCATTTGATCAAATTTTTCAAATACTGTCCTATAAAACAAGTAATGTTCAACACACACACACGTATATTCTATTAAACCGAAGAATTAATAGGACAGGTAATTTAAAAGGAAAATGAGAAATTCACCAGACGAAACAAAGCCCTGCCAATTCCCGCACAGAATATTATTCCCAATTTTCATTCTTATTCACGGCGATTCCACTTCTCTACTATTTTCACATCGCGTCCTCTTTATTACACGGATCGCTCTCTGTTGAAATCGGTTCGTAGAAAACTCAACGTTGACTGATTACAATGCCCGAGCTAATTAAAAATTTATTAGCATCGGTTGACTGACTCCTTGCTTCACGGTTATCTTTCTTCACAACGATCTGTCGATCATAGATGCAACGTGTCTATGTAAATCTGTCTGTTTTTGTACGATCGTGACTCGCCTTGATCGGTTAACGGAATAATATGGTAATGATGATCGAATTGGAAATTCATGTCGGAATGGATTTTTATACTCGGCTCTTTTTATAAATACACCTGAAATGACGTTTCTAGCATTCCGCAGGCTTGTCGAAACCGTTCCTTGGATCTCGTTTCCAACTGTTATGCTCGATTATACCTTGACCTTTTCGGAAATTCCGAAATCTCTTCCGCGATGACGGCAACTGTGATGTAACATCGTCCGATCAGAGGAAAGTCACGTTTATGGAACAAGTATCTTAAAGCGTGTATCGAGTCGACGATAATGTGGCGGTTTTTTCTCTCTCTGTTTTTCGTTCAGATCGCCGATTCGAAGTAGAACACGTACGTGTGTATTGCTTCGTTGCGATACATGGGAATTTTCTAAACTCTGAGGAGAGTGAAAGTCTTTCTGGAATCGATCTCCTCTTGGTCTTGATCTCGAGGGCTGAATTTCTGATATTTTCAGGGAAGAAAGGAAATTTGCAATTTTTGATCAGTATTTTCAGGGAAGAATGGAATTCGTAATTTTTGATTAATAAATTTAGGGAAAAATGGAATTTGTAATTAACCCTTTAACCCACAACAACGTGTCAGACTCGTGGCAGAGATTTTGGTCAAGATGTGAGAAAAATAGGTATATTAGTAAGAAAAATTCATTGTAATCCTAACTTTTTTTTTAATTTGTAAAACTAAGAATTCCTGAATGTAATTAACCTGAAACAGATTAGTTTTTGTTACTTGATATGGTACTGAAACGTAAAATGGCTGACGCTTATATGCATCGTCGGGAAAGAAATCATAGGTTAAGGGGTTAATAGTTTTAGGGGAAAATGGAATTTGTAATTTTTGATTAGTATTTTTAGAGAAAAATGGAATTTGTAATTTTTCATTAATATTCTTAGGCAAAAGTGGAATGTTTAATTTTATAATGGCATTGAGCTAAAAATTTGAATTTTTGAAAAACTGAAAAATTAACTCGTTACTAATTTCTAAATAATGGTTATACACACATTTTTAGCCTTATTCGTGTAAAATAGATCGTAATCCAGGATTCATATTTTTCGTTCTAGATGAATTTTCCGAGGAAATCGATCGAGAAGCGAGAAGATTGCTGCAGATTCTTCCAGCTTACGACCCTGGCGTTGGACGAGTAAGCCCAGAATGCAGGAGGCACGCTGAGATTTATCACCAGGAGCTCGCTAAATTTACTTTATGGGCCCTTAAACGTAAGCATAACCGTGTGGCATAAGTATAGCTTGTGAAACGTAGCCCAGTAGTCGGTAATCTTTATATCTCCTCGATTTACATACCTTGTTCGATTAATTTTCAATCACCTTTCCCATTTCAAAATGGACTTTTTCATCAGCTGATTTATCAAAGGCAAGTTACTTCGTTGTGATATCTTGCAAATATAACATAATTTAACATTTAAATAAACGAACAAATCAAAATTTAACGAGTGAACAATTTTTCAATGCATAAATTACTTAATTGTAGTACGTTAATTAGTCCAATATTAATTACTCAAATAACTCGCTTTTTCAAATTAACAAGAAAGTTAAATCGACAGAAAATTTTGTCCATTTTTCAGTACTGTTAATATTTCCTTCATTTTTATTTATGTAATTATACAAATCATCGTTTAAATAATTATGAATAATAATTAGCGCTTAAACAATTAGTTAATTATCAATCGTTATTTAATTTATATAAATTATCATTTTCGTTCGTACAAACTGAACTTTTATATGAAAAACACCCTGAACGAATCGTAGAAGCTGGTAACAATTATTTCGAGTTACGAAATTTCGGTACGAAAGAATCGCAACGAACAAGAGACACATTAGGAATACATTACAAGAGAAACTTTTTCCACGCGATCATTGAATTCAAAGTAATCGAAGATCAATTGACAAATTCGTCTTGAACGAATCTTTCTTTCACAACGAGACCCAGACAAATCGATTCTCGTACGAAAAGTTCATTCTTGAACGTGAAAACGGCTTCTACTCCACACGTGCCGCGTGGCACAGTAACTTTCAAAGTAATAGATCAGACGTTCTCCAACTACTTCGTTATCGAAACATTACGCCAAAGTTCCATTGTTTCCATTTAAATTTGCTCTTTAAATCTTGCCTAAAGATTGTGTAATTTTAAACGAAATACAACTGCATTAGACATTACACAGGGAACACTTTTTTAAGAGCATCTAAATGCACTTTAATGATTAACCAACCATTTCAGTTTAAGGACCCACAGTTACTTAAATCAAAGAAAATGCTTTTGTTCAAAGTAATCTTTTCATTCGCGATATTTTCAATTTTTTTTTATAATGCAAATAACGATCCAGGAATACAAACAAAAATCAAAGGAACGAACTATTCGGTGTTCTTTTGACATCTGCAACTGTAATTTTACTATAACTGTATATCTGTCGTTAAAATTGACTTTGCATGTGTGCAAGAGCTTGTTTGGAAGGGTTAAACACACCTATAGCCTAAACTGACAACATTTCATTGTACACATACGCATAAGCTTATAGTCCATATCGATCGGATTCATTAGACGCACGTGGAAGACCATAACACTACAAGGGTTAAGTAACCTTAACTATATAGCGAGGCTTGGTGCGCAGTTTGATAGATGAACGTAATAGAATCATGGATAGCACTTCTGGAGATCGAGCATATTATCACCATAATTTCCATCTTTCGGCGATAATAGGATTATTTTCACCTTTTCTTTTGTAACACAACTGTTTTCTGCTAATTTCCATCTATAATATAGTGAGAACAGTTCTTTGCTAATTTAGAAGAATTTAGCTCAATTAATTAGTTTTTTGCCACCCACAGTATAGTAAAATTTATCAGCTGAAAAAATTTCACTAATATATTTAACCCTGTTTAACCTGTTTGAAAAATCAAATCAGTTAACCAACATATGGTAAGCTTTTTGCTAATTTAGCAAAAATTTAATTACTCTTCTGCTATCCACTTTATCGCTCAATAATTTTCACTAATACATTCAACCCTTCTAATTAAAGAATCAAATTCTCGCTATTCGAAGGAAATATATTTAAGAAAAACATTTCACAACATTGAATATATTTTAATAATCTTTAATTTTAACATTCAGTTCGTTCTCAAGATGACTATTTATACATATACGTCTTTAACATCTGACAGAATTTCACTTTCGCTTATTATACTAGAATGGACATTGAATAAACACGTGAATACATCTTTTGTTGATTCATCGCTTTCTTCCGTCATCTTCGAGAAAACCGCGTTACTTATGATGCGACGAAAAGAAACTAATATCAAAGAACTCTCACGTGTACTTGCACCTTTTAATTTCAACTTTGAAGATATTCAGAAGATTCTTCTGCTGGCCAAGCATTGACAGTACCGTCTTTCTATCAGTTTTCAAAACAAAATCGATCTCCGGAAACAAGAAGTAGTATTAACCCCTTGACGTATGATTATTTTACCGACTATCCGGGCAAGCGTCGTTCGAAATGATGGCGAAAAAGATTGGCTAGACTTAAAAGATTGGCTAGACTTAAAAGATTGACTAGACGAAAAAATTAAGTATTAATGATAATACACACTTCCGTCATAATAAACGCAGGCAGTAGTGAGCGTTTCGATGAGATCAAATCGACTGGCAGTGTTTAGGACGTGTCTAGCCCCTTAACATATGATTTCTTTTCCGACTATGCATCTAAGTGTCAGCCATTTAATGGCAGATTCAGATATTCCACAACGGCCGCAAAATTTTCTTTTTTACACATTTTAAAATTTGTTCTACTGAATTAACGTGGAAGAGTGTGCAGAGTGATAAAATTAAGGCTTAAATTAATACGGAAGTGCGCCAAAAGGCTACAATACGAACAAATTTTCAAAGCGCCAATAAAGGGTTAACTACGGTGAAAGGGTTAACTAGAACAAACCAAATCCTGAGAGTAACAAAATCCAGAGAGAATCTATCGTCGCTGATAATCATCTATAAATTCGACGTTAAAACTCAATTTTATTTTTTTTAAATCTCTCATTTGTGAAATGCATTCAGCGCATTTCTCATTTCTTTCACGATTTTTCTTTTTGTTTCAAGTGTACGACGCGACGGCGAAAATTCCGTCTGGCCTTCTGAATGGAAATGTAAATCAGTTTGGTGATTTCGACGAATGCATCGGAATCGAGGGAAGCGAAGGAATTCAAGGACAGTATTGCTTGGTGTATCTTCAATTGAGTATCGACGAGTCGCGATTGGATTTGAAACATCTTCATCGGCTGATACATTCTCATTACGCCTTTAGAAGCAACATTTCTGATGTAAGTACGTACGTATATGTGTTTGCCATATTTTCATAGCTTTCTATGGACACTGATAATACTCAAACAACGATGAATAGTCTCTCAATCGTTATAGCTTCTATATTCAAGGATGAAAGGGTTAATGAACTCTGAGTTAGATAATATTTGAAAATGATTTATGGTAATTTATGTTAATTGATTCGTGCTAATTCATGATAATTGATTCGTGCTAATTCATGATAATTTATGCTTCCATTATTGCTCATTTTACTACATTTTTCTGAATACTGAGAAAAGCGTAGGTATTAAATGAAACGAAAAATTGAATTAGAATTATTTGTGGATAATTATCAGCTTGATATAATTTCGTGTATTAATACTATTGATGTATTAACAAAAATTAATAAATTTAACATAATAATACGACTTGATATTAGCGTTTGACGTATGTATATCAATTTGTAATCTCATTGTTGCAACAAACTGTAATAAGTAGCGATAGTAAATCGATGAATAGAATTATGCTTGTTACAATTACGATGTGCAATTTAAATTTTAGTTTACACAAGCTCAATTATCGTCGACGAATTTTGAAATGATAAAAACCGTGAAAAATTTGTCAGCGAGGAATAGAAATTGGTAGAAAAAAAAAATCGATATGAATTTATGAAAAGAATATGCGTGAAATATAATATTAAAAACAACGATATCGTTCCAATTGAAATAATACTCACTTTTTCAATTTTACTTCGCAACTGGAATCTACATGAAATATTTATAATTTCCAATAATAAAATTTCATTGTGTAACTTCTTTTTTTGGAAAGTTACATAAAGGTAAATTTCATTATCGACGAAATTAATAACAGAAATGAAAATCCAATTTAATATACCAAATTTTACAATTAAATTTCTATTAATCGTTCAATATTAAGCAGTTTTTATAAACAAATGAGAATTATCTTTAAAGATGCATGAAAAATTATAAAAGCACCTTTGAATACCATCAAATTCAGAATGAAACAAACTCCGGATAAAAATTCGAAAATTATGAACAACTTGTTTCGAAAAAATTTGATACAATTTTAAAAATCTTTCAAACTACTTTTTCTAGTTTATTTAAATACGAACAGCGAATGACTCATTGAGAAACCCATTCTATCTTCAATTAATTCGTTTGGAAGGAACAAAGATAAATAAAATTTCGGTAAGGGAAATAACGACGAAGAAGCTGTGTCGAAATTCTTGAAAGTAAATGAAAATTTGTAATCAGGAAGAGGT